GATGAGCCTCAGTTGTTAAATTTTAAGGGGTACCCGATGGCTTTTTCCAGGCACTCTACCAAAGAGCCAGCGGACAGAAAATCCCTCTCCACTTCCACAAATTTGATGTAGATGGATTTGGGCGAGACGCCGGGCTCGACGACGCAGTTCTGAGATAAAAAGGCGTTGATCCCCACCCAATCCTTACTGAAGGTTTTGGTGTTCGCCTGGAAGTGTAAAAACAGGCACTGCTGGAGAGTCCGGACCTCGGCGATGCCGAGGTAACAGTAGATAATCCGGGCGGATTCCACGTCCACCCGGAGGGAGGCTTGCGGCGAAGGGACCTCCAGCTCCCCTGGAGTCTCGTGGCCGGGATCGGGCCCCCTGGGCTCGCCGAGAGGGGAAGGGGGCTGGCACTCTTCGTAGCCGATGGCGTACAAGCCGGGACTTTTGGGGATCCCTCCCGGTAATAAATACTGCACGACGTTGCCGCCGGTGGGTTTGGAGTGGGCGATGGGGATCCAGTCGATCTCCATGTGCAGCTCGAGGCACCGGGCTTCGCTGATGGTGATCTCCAGGAATTTGTAATAAACGTTCTTCCAGTTCATTTTCTGCACCCGCGTCATGATGACGCGTCCCTCCGGCTTCTCCGAGTTGAAATATTCCCGGAGCCGCTTCCCGAGGGGAACTTGGGAGCTGATCTCGGCGTAGTGGTACCGGATATCCTCCTTCCAGCGGGTGTTGTACCCGATGCCGAAAATGGCCAGTTTGTTGGAAAGGTGGAGCCTGGAGAAGTCCGTCCAGCTCTGAAACAGCTCCCACTTCAACTGGACCGACTCCAAGATCTGCATGATGTTCTGCATGACGTCGCGCTTCCTGGGAAGGCAAGAACACGGAGAGAAGGGTGAAGGCAGCAAAACCATCCCGTCGGGAAAAACATGAATCCCTCCTGGCTTTTCCCGGTGTTTCATTGCGCCACCCCGACGGTTTCTTTCACTCCTCTCCTCCAAACCAAAAGGAAAACCCACCCCAACCCGCCCCACGCAAGCCAGAAAGGAGATTTCACGCAAAAAGCTCTTCGGGGAAGAAAACGAGGGCTGAGAAACACCCAAAATCCACCTTCCAGGGAAGATTCCTGCTCTTCCCGACCTCCCCAAACCCACACGGTGGAGACGTCCTGCTCCCTTCAAAGCGATCGCGAGCCTAAACAAACACCAGTTCGGTTACTGGGTTATTCCTGCGAGGTGCAGCCAACTGGAGCTGCGGCCCCAATTCACCCCTCAAAACGCTTCCACCTCGTCACTGCTCCGAGCAAACGGGGCCAAAATTGTGGGACAAACCCCACCCCAACCCCAAGCACCGAACGGCTCCGAGCGGCAGAGAACCCCGCGGAGCAGCAGCCGACCTGTGCCAGGACCCAACCGCTGCCACAACCCAAGAAACCCCCCCTGTGTTGTCAAAGAGTCGCCCGTCGCTGCCGGTAACGGCGCCGGAGCGCGGCTCCAGGGAGGGATTTCGGCGTCGCTAAGCCACCGGGAGAAGGAGAGTGTTCGTGCACGCTTGGAGCAAGCTGGAAGAGGATGAATGAGGCACTTGGAGCGTAATTAGGGAGAACTACTACTAATTGTAGGAGTTATTGTCCTACAATCAAAGCTGCTGGAAGAGACCGCGGCTCGTTTGGGAACGGAGAAACCTCCCTCGGGCCAACCAGCGGGATTTCACGCGACTCTCCGC